TTTTTTTTTGACTTACTAAGTTACTAGATACTATTATTTTCTAGTTTTTGTCACTAAACCTTAAAACTACTAAGTAACCGCTTCCATTTATTGTTGAAGAGCGTAAAATTTCATACTCTAATTTATGCTGACTGACCTTAGATTATTTGTTTCTACTTTGTGACTACCTTAAATAATACCTATAAATAATAAACTGTTAGTAATTTTTTTGCTGTAATTGAATGTAGTAAGATTTATTTTCCAAATGATAACCGAATTGTCAAACACTTGTCAAAGTTTTGGATTTACTCAAAATTCTATGCTCAGCAGCTGGAGGTAGGAAGAGTAGGGGCCCTCCCGTACTCTTATGGAGAGGCGTACTTTCTCATGAGGGGAATACTCTGCAAGAATTGGTATCTTGTTAGCAGTGGTGACTTCAACCAACTAGTGTACAAAAAAACATGTATTGGTGTGGCTGCCAACAAAGAGATCCAAGAGGGTAGATGGAGTCGAGCTTGCTGAAACAAGGAAAGAGAAAAGCAGTATTCTAGGCAGAGAGCAGGGCTAGAGCAGGAAAATGACTAAGTGCAGGTCAGATGATTTATAGAATGAAATTAATCAAGTTTTGAAATGAATGAAAAGTATTCTCTGAGAGTCTCATTTGAGTCATGTCATGGCAGTCTTATTTAAACATGAAGTGAAAGTTAGCTTTTTAAGTTGTCATGTGTTTTCAGGGTGTGAGAGAATATTTAAGTGATACTCTTTTTATCCTCCACATAAGAAAATAGGACTAGAGCAACCTATGACTTCCTCGCTTGTTGGTGGCCTAGCAGCCCTGGCACACAGAGCCTCTGAATCTGAAACACTTGTTTTGTCCCAATATCACCTGAAATAATACATTTAGGATGAGTAATTTAGTAAATGCATTAGTCTTGTATTCACTGCAATAAAATGCTCTTGTACCAGTATTATTTAATGCATTACATTTTATCGTAGTAAATAAATAATAGAAATAGAAATTCTTGACTGCTTTATATTGCTGTAGAAAAAAACAATGAAATCTTATTTTAAACTTTTCTCATGATTTTTAAAGGGAATTCATAAAATCCTTGTTAGGTTTGATGACGGGTACCATATTAAGGGCAGCATTTTATAACCCGTATCTTAAACATTGTCTCTAGAAGTTAAGAGCCTCCAATGGGTTCTCTGTAGAGTGCACATGATACCGCACTCAGGCAGTTCATGGAGTGTAAGAAATATCTTAGTGCTTTGTCATTTCACATTTTAACCAAGAAAAAAATACACTCTGATAAGTTTAGCTTATACTTCCCTTCCCCTTCAGGTATCTACTGTGCGTTTCAGTCAACAATACAGCTCATGTTCGACAATCTTCCTTGATGACAGCACAGCCAGCCAGCCTTATCTTACAATGACAATAATATCGTGAGTACAACTATACTGCCAAGGGACAGATTCCTTTATTCTAAAATTATTTCAGCCATTTGGTTGTCCTCTTCCACAATCAGTTTAAGAAATTTGAATCAACTATATATTGATATCCAGATTCTAAATATTAAGTATCAATTTATCTTTTAATCTTAGAGGTTGTGGTGGAAGGAAAAAATCAGTTAGCAGAGAAGCAATCTCAGAAGCAGTGTATCTTTTTGATGCCTTTATGCCTTTAGACAATGTTGAGCACAGTGAGAAGGATAGGTTCCCTTTATTGAATGTGTTTTGTGAAAACTTAGTGTTTCAATACATTATAGGCCTAAATCAGTGTGTACTACTTTGGACATTAGCCTGGGAAGAAGG